AAGTCCTTAGAGGACTGCGTGTTGGTACCCTGTTCCATCAAGATGCTCATTTGTGGGCTCCGGTCGTAGATACTTCTTCTCGTGACATGGCAGTTGCTGCCAGGGAAAGCTCAAGAAAGCTTCAGGTAATGTTGGGGCTTCACAACTGTACTAAAATTATTTTTTGTTTTGCAAGTGTACTCAACTTATTTGCAATTTGCTTATAGGCCTTATCTTCAGAAGATAGGAAGAAAATTCTACACGATATTGCCAACGCCCTTGAAGCAAATGAGAAAACAATTAAAGCTGAGAACGATTTAGATGTTGCTGCAGCACAAGAAGCTGGATATGAAGAGTCTCTGGTAGCTCGCTTAGTTATGAAGCCTGGGAAGGTAAGACAGCATCCACTGTGATTAATTCCATTGTACCAATTTTCTTGTCTTTGTATGGCCTATGTTTTTTTACTTTTACATTTTCTTTGTGCTTGATAGATCTCAAGCCTTGCAGCTTCCGTTCGCCAGCTAGCTGAAATGGAAGATCCAATCGGCCGTGTATTAAAGAAAACTCAGGTAATTTAAAGTCAATACTTTATATGTGTACTCAGGGAAGGAATATCCTCATTTAATGTAAAGCTTCCTCGAATTAATATGCAGAATTTGTCTAATTCATATTTTTCTTGACAAATTACTATGTAACAGGTTGCAGATGGTCTTATTTTAGAGAAGACATCATCACCTATAGGTGTTCTTCTGATTGTATTTGAATCCCGACCTGATGCACTTGTTCAGGTATGTCATGAGTCATTGTCCTTTATGCTCTTACATATAAATTTTGATCGCTAACAGTGACACCATTCTCTATCAATGAATCAAACAGATAGCCTCGCTTGCAATCCGAAGTGGAAATGGTCTTCTGCTGAAGGGTGGAAAGGAGGCTCGTCGATCAAATGCTATCTTGCATAAGGTACATTGGCCTCATCTTTAATAGATTGGAGCTAACTCCATTTTAGTCATCTTGTTTCCCAAAATTATAGCTGGCTAATTTGTGAAATCCCGGAAAAAATTTAGGTGATCACTGATGCAATTCCAAAGACTGTTGGAGGTAAACTCATAGGACTTGTGACTTCGAGAGAGGAGATTCCTGATTTGCTCAAGGTTGGTAGATAAATAAATGGCAAGTCACCAGAAGTAATTAGCTCTTTTTACTTACACTGAACCCACCATTTACATTTTTGGTACAGCTTGATGACGTTATTGATCTTGTGATCCCAAGAGGCAGCAACAAACTTGTTTCTCAGATAAAAAACTCAACTAAAATCCCAGTGCTAGGCCATGCTGGTATGTTTATAAGTTTAGTTCCATTATTTTTGTAAGTTGGATTGGCCTAGAGAGAACGTTGCTTATTTTTTGGGTTTATCCAGATGGAATTTGTCATGTATATGTTGACAAGTCATGTAAACTGGCGATGGCAAAGCGCATCATTACTGATGCAAAGGTGGATTATCCAGCAGCCTGTAATGCGATGGTTAGAGATTCTGACCTCTTTCAGTACTGTTCACTTATACAAAGTGATTTCGTTTTTGGCTCACTTATTATTTCTTGTCTCACTTCACCATCTTTTTTCATTTTGTCCTACCAGGAAACCCTTCTTGTACATAAGGATTTGGAGCAGAATGGTTTTCTCAGTGATCTTATTTTTGCTCTGCAAACCAAAGGTGAGAATACTAGTTAGGGGAAATGAATCTGGTTTATTGGATCTATCTATCAATCTGGATTATTATCCTTACAACTTTTGATTTATAGTTAATAATAAACTAGACTGTTTCGCCATAAAAACTGAAACTAAGGTGGTATTTAGTTTGTTGGCCATTTCCAAAGAGACTTAATGCGCACTTCAAATTGCAGGTGTCACTTTGTATGGTGGACCGAGAGCAAGTGCAATACTGAATATTCCGGAAACAAAATCGTTTCATCACGAGTACAGTTCCAAGGCCTGCACCGTTGAAATTGTAGAAGACGTATATGGGGCGATAGATCATATTCACCAACATGGAAGGTAAAATTATTACCGATTTCAACTAATAATAACATCACAAAGTTTTCAACGGGCCTACAGCTCTGTATTCTTTGCATGTGCTGGAAAATAAGTGTGGCCACTCTTTTGTCTTATCTTATTATGAGAGCAGTGCGCATACTGATTGCATAGTGACAGAAGATAGTGAAGTCGCAGATATATTTCTCCGCCAAGTAGACAGGTAAATAGCCCATGTACATACTGCCCATAAAATGTTGGACATTGTATATACTGAAAATTAGTTAATTCGTTAACATTTCGTGCTCTCTACAGTGCTGCTGTTTTCCACAATGCAAGCACAAGATTCTCTGATGGATTTAGATTCGGACTTGGTGCTGAGGTAGGGAAAACGAGAGACATATAAAATCACATATATAAACCAAATAAATAGAAAAGTGTCAATAAAATGAATTTATGGTCAAATGTGGTTTGTTCTTATGCATAGGTGGGAATAAGCACAAGCAGGATCCATGCCCGTGGTCCAGTCGGAGTAGAAGGATTATTGACAACGAGATGGTACAATTAAGTCTATTTTGTCTTTCCATAGTTCATTGAGTTGTCGAAAGCTGTGAAGTTTAAATGGTTGTGGTGATGAATGACAGGATAATGAGAGGAAACGGACAAGTTGTTGATGGAGACAATGGAATCGCTTACACCCATAAGGACCTTCCTGTCTTAAAAAGGACAGAGGCAGTGGAGAATGGGATTTAGTTCTCTCTCTTTTTCTGCTAATGTCATATTATGTTTTACTTTTGTGATGATTGAAGATTTATTTTTCCTTTTTACATAGGATTAGTGTTACTTGAGGTTTGTACCATCATAAGAAGATCCCTTTACTTAAGTGGTCTTTGATAATAGTGAAATGTTTTTAGCAGCTTCTCTTCATGTCAAAAAACCCCTTATAAGTCGCAAACTTTGATTCACCACTTCTGTTTGTATCATTTCTCTATACAGAATAAATAAGTTGCATCTCTCTTCTAATTTGTGGATGATGTCGCCAAGATTCAAATTTCGAATTTCGCTTCCAAAACCTATGTGAACTCAAAAGTCAATTACAATAAAACTTGCAACCCTACAAACCATATTCCTCTTGCTTATCTTAATGTGTGTTTCATTCGACAACCATACTGTAATTTGTAACTATGCAGTGAAATGAGTGAATCTAGTGGTGAATAAGCCCCGTTTAATTGCAATTTATGCTATTTTCCTGCCAAAAGCGTTCAAAGTTTCACCATTCATCTCACGGGTGAAGAACATTTACAGAGAGTAAGCATCCTTAATTGTTTGTTTAGAAATACATTTCTCAATTCTCATTGTCCATGTCAAAATTTGATCTCATCATATTCTATTTTTTCACATCCTTCTCAAGAAGGAAGGTGGAAATGAGGGATAACAGAGTTGATCAGGCTTACCTTAATTCTCATCCCAAGACTGCTGCTACACTACCACGGTGATGGAGGAGCCACCAAAGGCAAGTTTTTTTTTATAAATACGGATTTGATCAAGTAACGAACCCAAGCACAATAGACTATTGAAAGATGCAATAGTGCAATACCACCTCCTCCAAAGGCAAGTTTTAATATCTCAACTTTGTTAATGAAAGATGTTTTGACTTAACTCCAAATGTGAAACATAAAGCATGATGTGGATTTGCAGAATTTATTTGAGGCTAATAAAGTGAAGAAGAAGTTAATGAAGAAGATGTCGACCGATTGTGAGCATCTCCAAGACTAAGAAGAAGAAGAAGAAGAGTATACATGGTCAGTTTTTGTTGGAGCCTCCAATAAATTTTGGAAGAGACTGAAATATCAAATGACTTCAAGTTTAGTGTGGCAGGGCCTTTACAAATAATCAGATTAGCATTTACTAGAATAGCCAAGCAAACAATAGAGTTCAAGATTTTTATTTCAGCTTGATCACAACCAGTAACTAAACTGGCCAAATAGGTTTCTACCAAACGAAGAAACATCACCATCAGACCTGCAGGCACTTGTCTATTCGGATTCCCAACACAGGTTGGACTTAGTTCATCATATGTACTCCCTTGGCCAGACTTGAGAGAGCAAAAAGAACTATTTAATTAAATTCACAGACCCACATTAACAGAACAAAGTGCAAATGTTAGTTGCAGGTGCATAGCATGAGAGATTTGTTCATAGTTTTTATGAAGGAATCTCAGACGCGCCTTGAAACAGGTGAACCTTCTAGTTAGTGCAGAAAGCAAATCAAGTTTCAAACTTGTTTTATGAAGGATTCAAGTTTCACACCAGCTCTTCAGCTTAGTGAAGATACTGTCACTGATACCAAGTTGAATAAATGATAAGCAAGCGTTTTCTGTTAAACAAGTCTCTGATTGATTCATAATGTAAGACAGTGGCTTATATAAGCCTAACAGAGAAACAGACTCCTTAATTAGCACTAAGATTAAAGACAGACTCTCCTAGGCTACTAACATAACACTAGACTTTTAACAACTGACACATGAAACTAGTCAGACAAAACAAACATCACTTCTTCTTCTTCTTCAACCTTGGAATTCTTGGAATCTGGATGTACTATGCTTCGACAATGTCTTCCCAGTAGAATACGTGGGGAGTTACCTGCCCTAAAATCGCTGAATCTGCCTGATCAGAGCAAACCACAATACTGGTGTATCCCAACGCCTTCAGATCAACTGCTACAAAAATCCGTAATCTCCACTTAAGTGCATGATGACTCCAGGAGCAGGAGATGGTGCAACTGAGTTTTTATTGGTCTTTCTACTTTTCATATTCATTTGTTAAAAGCTGTCAAGTTTTAGATGGTTGTGGTGATGAATGACACATGAATCAAGATAATGAAAGGAAAAGGACAAGTTGTGGATGGAGTTTCTCTTAATGTCAACTTATACCTTCTCTTTTTTTATCTCCATGCAAAAGAAGTTATGATTCTCTTATAATCTATGGTTGTTAACAATGATTATCAAATTCGAATTTCACATTCAAAACACCATTGTGAACTCCAAAGTCATCACAAATGAAATCTGCAACCATAAAAGAAAATCTAGCTCTTACTCTACTAAAGTGTGTCTTCTTCATTCTTGGACAAAGTTTTTGAGCTTCTTCAACCATAGCAAGTACTCTCTGCTATCTTTCTTCATCATGTACTCATACAAGAAATCTGTTGTGCTTGCTTTGATTCCTCTAGTCTCTAGAAACTTGTGGAACGACTTGCGCATATTCTCATCCAGCTCCCTGCAAAGCAAAAGAAATAAAAAACACTGGAGTTATTTTTCGGGGTTATCAAATGGCTAAAACAGATGGGATATATATGCTGCTTACTGAAAATCTGGTCCATCGTATGCCAATTGTTCTTCGGAAGAATTCTCTGGACGGTTCACAGACAAACCATCAATGACAACCTCACCAGGGAAAGCGGTGCAGCTAAACTCTAGGCTGAGTCCGCTCTTCTTGGTCACAGTAACAACTAGTGGAATGCTTGTTTCATTCGCTTTCTCATGACGACCATCACCACCATCTTCATCGTCATCCACATCATCTTCATTTTCATCCATGGCAAGACCAGGCATGCTTACTTCCACTTTAATCTGCTCTCCGTTGTATTCTCTAGTCAAAGTCACAGTCCGGAGTCCAGGATTATCTTCGATTTTGAAAGGAAAGTCACTAGAGGCTATTGTCTCATCCTCCTGCATATAGAAAACACAAAACCAGAACCATGTAGGCTTTCAAAAAACTTAGAATCAAGAAATCAAATCAGGTTCATGCGAACACAACATGTATATATCTGTACGGATGTACCCCAGAAAGCCTTAACTTGTGAAAATATAAATACATGATCAAATTTCGAAAATGTACAGACTTAACTCAAGAATTCTGAATGAAATGAATTGAATTGAAGGCATAAATAAAAAAAGTCTACACTTCGCTTCAACCATGAGCTCTATTGAAGCTTATGGCTTTCTAATTGAGTTAGTGAACTCGCAGAATCAGTCAAATTTTCAATACTGCTTCTGCATTTCTCTATCAGAAATCAAGATTGTAACTATTGGGGTAACCAAATCCTCCATTAATTCGTGTTTTTCTCCCGGAAAAAAAAGTGATAGAGACGAAATATTACCACATCGTGATCATCAGCAATAGAAACGTTGATTTCGGAGTCAATAACTTGTAGAAGCGTCTGATTGGACTTTAATCGCTCAGTGGCCGTCGAATAAGGGAATCCACGAGAGACGAAAGGATAAAGCAGAGATGGCTTGGGAACAAGAGAAGCGCGATTAACAATGACGGAGACGGCCTGAGCTCGAGCCACACGACCACACACGGAAGCCAAACTAGAAGCTGATCTACGAATGCACAAAGCGAAACCCATTGCAGATTGATTGCTAGAAATGGATTCTCTCAGGGTTTTGGCATTTCCCTTAGGGTTTTAGCTCGCGAGTCGCGAAGAAGACAAACTTCACTAACCAAATCGTACCGGTCTTTCCAATTAAACCGGTCAAATTATGATATTTCATCTATACTATTAAAGCCGAAGTACACAATGAATTTACACTATAGTTTCAAAATGAAATAATTATCATTTCTAACTGGGTTAACACGCGGATCTAACTAACTAAACGGATATGTTAATCGGGTTTAGAGATTTAATCTCCATCGTTCATTTTTCAGTTGATAAAAAAAAAATTGGTTTTCAATATTAAAGGAAAGATAATTATTACGTTTGATATTTAACTTTATTTGTAAGATACAATGCCTAAAATTTAGCTTAATTGGCAAGATTTTCTTAATTTCAAATATTTTATAAAGATCTTGATCGAAATTTTAAACATTGAGTATTTTAATATTTGTTTTAATAGAAATCATTCCATGTTTTCTTAGTATGAAATATTCAATGTAGTTGACTTTTTAAACTATTTTTAACTTGACCAACCAAATCAATCTATATTAACATTTTTTAAATACATTTGATAATATAACTTTTTATTTGTAAGATTTTTATTAATAAACTTTTGTCATTTCATTATATATTAAAAATTGAAGAATTATTTATTAAGTAATCATTATCCTATTCGATTTTCTTTGAATATATATTTCCTTAATCATTTAAAATCCATAATATGTATATATTTCCTTAATCATTTAAATCTAAATCGTTTATATCAAAATCATTAATTTATGGTGGAGCCCGGAATTGTATTTGGCTTAATTTATAACAATTTACTAATTTATGGTAATTAAATTCGCCTATTAAATATAAACATGATTTGTTATTCTAAGTCTTCTAAAAATGGAATATTCGGATATAATATTTAATATTTAACAATAAAATTACGATAATTTAGTGATTGAGATTGAATAAAGTTATTTCTTTTCAAAACTAAATCAAACCAAATATTATAAAATATTAACTACCCCATTTTTACAGCCTATATAAACCATTCCATGTTTTCTTACTTTACATTCATTTCAAAAGCGAGACAAAATATATATCTCACAAAACAAAGGATGAACTAATACAAATTTTCACACCACATGCTTTCATATCGTTTTTAATCAATGTTTACTCATAATATTTTACTTTTTGTGTTTAATTTTTTTAAAACAACTAATTGTAATCTACTTTTTTGATGTAATAGCTTGAGATTTTGAGGTCTTTGGGAAAACTACGAAGATCAACAACATCCTCCCCAATAAACCCAAAAAACGTGGTATGCATTCGAAGGTTATTTAGTCATACTTCTTATCATTATATATGTAAAAAAAGTTAAATAAAATGGTTAATATTCCTTTTAAAAAATTTTCCTCTAAATTACATGGTATATATATATATATATGCATTTAAGATTTTATCGCAATCGTTTATTTGTAGATTAAATCTTGATCGTTAATCTAAATTTTCAAATATCTAAAAGATTTTATAGATATTATAATTTTTATCTAAGGAAATTTATTTGGTGAAGAATCTCAATATATTATGTCTTCATTACTATTCCTATACGTGAATTAAATATTTCCTAAACTATTTAACTAAAATCATTTATATTTAA